GCTATTTTTTGGTTGCAGCCGTCGTTGTTTGGCGGGTCCGGGCTGGGGATTCGAACCCGGCCACCTTAGGTGTACGTGGCTGGCGCCTTAGCCAGTTGAGCTATAGGCACTGAGCCAGTTTCACCTCTTATTAAGATACAAAGGGAATATGGCTACTATTAACAAATAGCAAGTACTTTCACTCAAAATAATGATAAATATATTTGGTATATAAAGTGGCAAATTATAAAATGCAGAACAGTCCAAAAATAGTTCTGGAATGGCTAATAATTTTTATTTAATTTTGTAAAGGTAAAAAGCATAGGCAGTAACTTTTACTAGTCAGTAAAAAGCAATTCTACCAATCCACTGGTAATTAATATATACTAAACAGAGTTGGAAAGCACTTTACTGAAAGCAAAATATTTAGAGAAAATAGACATTTATACAAAATTATAAAATGCTTGCAGTAAGAATAAGTGCATTTCAAGGAAAGCACAAACTTATTTTAATTTATAGAGCCAGTTAAACCCTTAAAAAATTTTAAGTGGAACTTGAAATATGCAAAAATGTATAAACATTCTACAAAAGATGGTCATTCTTTTCCTGAGTGCACTAAAGCTATGAAACGTAGGTGACAAGGGAAGGCAGAGGCTGGGAACTCTTTCAGGGACATTTCCTTTCTACACACTGCTTCCCTCCTTCTTCATACTCTTGTTTGGAAATCCACATCTGTTGAAAGGTGCCCTGTAAAATGGAAAGAAATACAATCATGCCGTACTTATCAGAAAATACTTTTCCTCTTAATATCTTTATTTTCACAACTCCTAAACTTTGAAGAACTTGTTTAAGAGTCCTCCTCCCCAAAGAAGTACTCCATTTCTCTTATTTCTAGCATCCAGAACCATTCAAAGACACTATCAAGAGTTGCCTTTAAGGTCAGAAAGAATATTAAATCCCTTAATAGCTGTATAGGATTTAGAAAAGAGCTGGCCAGGAAGACTGAGGGTTTAGCTCTGATGGCTTGGTGCCAACTTAAGGTACTGACAGAAATCACTGGAAGGCTTGAGTACTTAGTGACTTTTACTTTGTGCTCTGAAGTAATGAAGAAATGCTCTGAGTCTAGGGTACAAAAAAGTACAAGACTTTTTCTCCTCATTCAAAGCAGACAATCAGTGCAGTGACATGTTAGACCCCTCCCCAAGATTTCACCATATGCCCCAAGAACCAATTCCTGACTTCCTGTACCTCACCGAACAGACTGGGAAACAGAGAACTTGAGAAGGAACATGCCTTGTAGGTAAGTCCTCAGTGCAAATGGGGGCATTATTAGACAAGGCATGCACATTAACATATTTCCATATCTGAGAAAGGAAACTGAAATGAGGCTGAAACGCCCACTAAATATGGTAAAGTGGCATTTTGTTGTACAAGAACATATAAAACTGGTAATTCTCATCAGGTCCTCCATTCATTTATTTGGTAGTTATAAAATCAGAAGATAAATGAAGCACTGGAATTATTTTTAGTATTTTTACTATGTTTAGTATAATTCAGTAAGAATATAGAGTTTTGCAAAGGAGCTCATCTACTAACCAAAGAAGCTAGAATGGAGCCACCAATCCACGAACTAAACCTCCGTTCCACTGTTGTATTATTTGCAATCAGCTTCAACCGCATACTCTAAAATACACAGGGGAGAACATGCATTAGTGTAATGATACAACTGATGACTCTGGAAATTCAATTTTGACAAAGACTTACTGACTCTCTGTCATTCAAACTCTGATAGATTAAACATGGTAATTCTGAAATAGGCTAAACGCATAGGTTAGAAAGATTTTTTAAGTACTTTGAATATGGCTTTTAATATACAGTATTCGATAAGAAAATAAACCATATAAACTTTAGAAAACTGCATACTGAAGGATGTATTCACAATATGTAGCTTATAAAGCAAACCTGTTCTTGACACTACCAATCAGGTACTATGCTATATATATATATATAGGTTCATTTCATTCAACATGTGACATTAATTATTCCAGGCTGCTTCCTGTTAGTCCTCCACCCTCTGCCAACTGTTTCCTTTCTAGGTCTTTATGCTTACACCCCTCCTATCCGAGTTCATTCTCGCCCTTAACAAATCAATATACAGCTATCAGATCTCAAGTTAAGTTTTTTATTCATTCTGCTTCCCTCCCAAGTTAGTGCTTCTGTTTTGAACTCAAAACTCTCTCTTTATATACATAATTTTTGACTCAGTACTATCCTCCACCTCACTTCCTATATCAAGAGGTTTTTTTTTCCTCTACATAGGAATGTGTCTCTGATGATAGTTACCAAATTGCAAATATCTTTCAATATTTTATTCTACTTATGAACATGTAGTTTTGAGCCTTTTTTCATAATGAAATAAATGTGTGTGTGGCGAGGGTAGAGTATGGGATGTGGGTGGAGTGCTGGAGACTGGAGGGGTGAACATGGGTTTTTTGTAGGTAAGGAAGATCATGTCTATTAATTACAGTGGAATTTTTTTCCTTGTTTCAATTTTTTTTTTTTTTTTTT